ATCATCACAAGTAGTCTTAACAGTTCACCATCCTGTAGACTATTTGGTAGAATGTTCCCGGTAGACCTGCGCCATTCTAGCGGTGATAGGCTATAAAACAGGCCCGCCTCACCACGGGACACATTCCGGCTTCCCCTCGCCTCACAGGATCACTTTTGTATCGTTCTATTGAAAAATTGTGGTTGTGGAAATCCAATCATTTCGCCCGGGTGTTCTCTGGTCCAATTATGTCCTGATTCGGTGTTATTATAGAATTTCCCGTGCCACGACCCCCAAGGAGCGATCCTGGGCTCCACTCTTCATCACAGGGATAATTTGTGTGTTCTTCTACTAATTAACTGCCACATCTTGTTCGTTTTCCCATCCCACATTCCTCACAGATGATATATAAGTACAGAATGTTGGAAAACAGCAGGGCTGGATTGTCGCTAAATCTGATCATTACGCAGAAAATCATTACTCGGTGTTTCACGGAATCCTGCTAGGATTAATCCACTAGTCTACTAATCTGGGATGTGTTTGTGCATGATTGGTATAATACGGAACTGTTTACGATGTGTTTTTGGTTTTAGCAATGGCAAATATCTCAGAAAAGGACCGAACCTGCCAGTCGATGAGTCATCACTGTGTCGTGTGACTTCACATAAAAGACCAATATGAGATCAAAAGTTGATATACATACGAGCATTGATGCAAGCTGAGCTTTTTTCCACAAGTCATCCATATTTGCACATCGTAGCTGAAAGGATTATACATGATTGCTCTAAGCACAAACAGTGCCCTGGTCTAGCTTTTATAAGTACATACAATCTCAACTATGTAAAACAGCATTGCGAAGAACCGACATGAGAATGATAAAACCTTGCACAATATAGTCCAGAAATATAACTCTACATTTGGCTCATACCACAAGGACTTTGGGAGAAATGTACAAGACGGGGAGCCGCCTGCTTTTGGTTGCACAACTGAGGTCTGTTGCCATGGCAACACTGTACAAAACATGTTGATTGGAGAAGCATTGGGTAACCTAGGCAACCATCTCCAAGTGGTGCTGACTAAAGCTATGTCAAAGACTCTCCTTTTGCTTTACCAAAATATACATGTAGTGGTGATTGACATGTCATTAAGTACACACATTACACATAGGAGAATCTTACAGACTGGAGATGGTGCCTACATGGATACATTCTGGTCAGAAAATTGCACAGATTTTGACTTCATGGCTGCAATTATTTTCTAATCATCATCATATTACGATTTTGATGTATACACATATTACCATATTTAATTAGGTTCCTCCAATATTTCTTCTCTTTTAGCTGTAATTTTTAATGATCACCAATTAGTGTACAGACCACCTGGTGGTACAGTTCATTATACTAAAGAAGCAAGTCTTTTTTAATTTTGTGGTACAAAACAACAAAAAAGATTTTCTGAATCAGTAACAGAACAAAAAGAATTTTTAGGTCAACCTATTACAGTCAGTTTCACAGATAGGCACAAGATGTTCCCAACATTTCCATTGTGAATTTCAGGTAGGCCATGACAGTGGGGAGGATAGAGTTAGTCTGTGCAATTTTCTGCAGAACAGGTAGGTGTGTTTTGGCAGGATATGCACATGTGTAAGAGGCATCAACAAGTTAATTTCTAGTTTCTCCTGATTCCAGAACACAGAACTAGGAATATGTTGTATTTTTCTCATATATCTCACATCCTGCATTACCACCTCGACTCATAGGGGGCCTCGTGAGAAGACAAGAAGTTGCCTTGTTGTGCCTAGCAGGCCAGGCCGAGGGCGGCGGTGTGTTCTTTGGCCTTCATGCGCAGGTCTGCCAGGGAGATGTCCTTATGTACTGTATTGCCGGGCTGCTGCTGCGGCTGTTGCTGGGCCTCGGCTGGAGCTGTAGTAAGGATAGGAGCCTAAACGTTAACATTAGGAGCAATTCTACTCGTGCTAGAGTATGGTGTTCAACATTAACATTGGCATTGCATAGTTCAGGTTAGACCAGTCATTATTAAAATTACATGGCAACTATAACTGTCAACTTAATCAACTTTTTGATGCACAAGTCTTTTTCATTTCCTTTATAAAAATAGAATCTAATTACTTGCTACACATGGTACACTACAAAAATAGTTTTTTCGCTACAAAAAACAGTTTTTCTTACTTTATCAAAGAGAATAGTAACACAACACATCATCTTGTTTTTGATATCTGAACCTGATGTCCCGATACATTGGTTACAGAATATGTTTGCCATCTATCCCCTAAATATTTTGAGTTTTTGACTGCCTCTCAATACAACATTGGAATGAAAACCAGCAGAAGGAAACTCAAGAGCCTTATTTGCTGTTGTTGGATTTTGTTTGACAATGTTGTTTTTGCGTACCCAATCCCTCCGTGTAACATGTGTACACCCATAGTTCTAACATCCTAATTTTTCTGCATCACTGACTTTCTTTTTTCAAGTTTTGTTTTGGTTTATTTTTCTTCAGCCATAGGTAAGCAGCCTGCCATGCTTATCAAAATTACTATCATAACTTGGAAACATTCTTATCACTACCCTTAAAAAAGGACAAAATTAAACAGCTGTTCACCCCCTCATTGTGCTAATCATACAGTTAGTCAAACTTAACTTACATGTGTATTTTCATTGTGTATGTTAAGAACACTGCAGGGGAGTCTTGTGGCCGTCCCCAACTTTGTTTTGTAAACTTTCCCCATTACTTGGAATGGGGATCAGTAGCCAGTGCTTTTATTTCCCACAGTGTAGGGCACAACAAATGGTACCCTGGGTTCCATCTCTTCTGTAGGGCCGACACAATGGACCGCCTCACGGCATGTTGTTTAGGGGTAAACAGTGGATAGAAATATGGTGTTTGGACTGGTGACACCCTGGGTCACATGACCATGTTCACTGATGCCAAAATATTACCAATAGTGAGGATGCCATTCAAATGTGCTGCCAAAATAGCAACCCAACCCGGGCTAAAAAGACTGGACGGTATCCAGTACATGGTAAAGCCATGATTTCATCTGTTTTGTTACACCCAGTTTAGGGTGTGAGTTTTGTTTTCTCTTGCAAGTAGCCAAAGGAGGCAAGAGCAACTGACCACCCTTTTTTGTGTTGAAAACATCAGAGAGAAAGAGCAACATTCACCTCTTAAACTTTCAAGAAGGGACTGATGAAATACCAAACATGTTTTTGCAGGTCAGCTGAGACGTTATCTTGAACATGTAACATACATACGTAGGGCGTATTGAACTTAAAACTTAAGATATTGAAATATAACTCAGCAATCAAGACTGCAATAAAGGAATTATATGAAAGCAGGTTACATATTTGTTCATTCCTTGTGAATAATCAACTTTGAAACATGTAAAATCATAGAAAGATTTTTGGCATTTCTCCTGCTCGTGAAAGTTTTGCATGAAGAAAGTTAATATAATTGAAACCATACTCTATGTCTGATTCTTACTTGTCTCTGCACCATGGTCCATTTGCCTTGCATGGTAAAATATCTCTGATTTATCACCAACAAGAGATGGAATTGACCTTTAGGCAGCCAACTGTGAATTCTCTTATCTTTTCCCAAGTTGGGACATAATTCTTCCAACATCTCACAAGACAACTGTCCTCCCTATAACTTTATCATAAAGCCGACAAGTTTGGAGATGCCTTGCATTTAGAGCTTTTTTACTTTGTACTTTTCTTCTTATAGTCTGTTCTACTGTAATAGGAGCAGTAATAAATCTCAAAACAGAGTTTTCAATGAATCAAATGTAGACATAGTCAGCCTTTTACTCCATCCTACTTCAGACATCTGGTCTAACATCTTCTCATTTTCCTGTACCAACTTAAGGGGCAGTGTGGGCCTCTTTAAGGTTAGAGGTGAAACTAACTTTGTAACACAAGCCAGTCCAAACCTCCGACTGGGCGGGGCAGGAAACCTTGTCTTTCCTTCAGCAGAAATTGAAGCTACTTCATACATAATGGATGCCAATTCTTTGTGGGGCCAGTCTTCATCACTGCACCTATATTAGACATGAGTTCAGCAAGATCCTGAGGACACACTCTGCTCCAAAATCTAAGAAAACAAGTCTTCTTTTTTTTCAATGTTTGAAAGTGAAGGTTGTCAGGGTGGGTGATCTTTTTTTTTTTTGTGCACCAAAAATTTACTACCACCAAACTTCCAATGGTAGTACCAGAGGCTACTAACATTTCTTCTATAAACACCATTCTCTTGCCCTACTTTGCTACAACTCTTCAAAGTTTTGATTGATCACTCTTGGGTCTGTTTTACCTTACAAAACTAACAAACACAAGAAGTGAGGTCCCCCAGTGGAGCTGCTAAGCAAACTAAGTTGACCAAAAAAGAGTCAGAGCACTGCAAAGAACCATCAGACGCCTAGCAACATACACTAAGTAAAGACTGACACAATATTTCTCCTTACTGAACTGCATGTACAATCCAACTGTGGTGCCCCTAACTTCACACAGGTATCTGTAACTTTTCCTTGACAAGTACCAAAGTAAGAGGAGTACTATTTCATATAGCTTGATTTAAGACCACATCCTGAGGCCAAGACCATCTAAAGACCACCTGTTGGATTCACCTCAGTCTGTAGAACAGTCTGTAATCCCTGCTGGGCTAGCTTGTCTGGGACAACTCAGGAACAGACTTTCATCAACAAACTATGAATCACCTACCTCAGATCAAGTAGGTTTAAGAGTCCTTGCTCAGATCATCTCAAGCTCAATATCATCTCCCCAACAGCTAACCTCTCATTGCTATTCTTTCCTGCTCCTTTCCATGGGAACAGACCAGTAGGACTGGTATGCCAGTCTGCTGCCTCTAGCCACACTCTGAGGGCATTAGTGACTTCTGCCTGGGCTAGCTGACAACAAACACCACCTGAGATGTGTGCAGTGACCCGTGTCTGTGCGACCCTTCTGCCCTTACTTAGAACATCCAGTAGGGATCAGCATCTCACAAAGCACAACATGGGAGACCATTCAGCCTAACCCTCAGCTTACACAGGACTACACCAGCTAGAATTCCACACCAAAACACACGAGATACATTGGGCTCTAAACAATTGTAGTATTCATGATATACCGGAAGCGAAGGACCCTGCCAAAAGTGCTTACACTTTGTTACTACAGAATGACTCCAACAATTGGAACTGGTTTTTAGAATTTCTTTGCTTTAGCATCATATACCGAAAACCAAATGAACAAAAAGGAAACTCTGAAACTGCTTATTTTCTCAGAAACTATTACCAGTAGTTCAAAGTCTTAGCAGCCCTCCTCACATCTTGTAACTTCTAATTTATCTTCTGATTTCTTACAATTTGTGTGTAGTCTCTGAATGTAGAATTTTATTTCTCTACACTAAGTCTTTATCTGATAGTAAATTGTTTCATGTATTGCCAGCATGTGTCCATTTGCATGGATATCTATTACACACTTTCAGTAGTCAAGTTGAATCTAACCCCATTCTCTTCCTACATCATCAACATGGTTGTCAATATGTCCCCCTAACAATGATTTCCATTTTCCTATAATGCCCACTTTAGAAGATGGATTGCCTAAGTGCTTCAGGAATGGATAGAATTAATTAAACAGTTAAGGCAGGCATTGATATCCTTTAAAGTTGGAAGTATTTCTTCCATCATTCACCAGACCCTGCAGGAAATGACATTCTTTAGAAAGTGCTAAGAGCTCACAAATCTTTGCCGCAGGAGGCACACTTGCCCGTCTGATCCCTGATTCCGCAGGAATGTTGTTTTAACATTTGCTTTACAGATTTTCACTGTGTCTTTTGTGCATTTGATTGACAATACTTACAGCAGTGAGGGAACATACTGTGACAGGAAACATAGTATTTTGCTATGGGGAAGACCACCTAGAATCCTGAGTGTGGAAATCCTGAAAGTTTCCTATCCTCCAAACATCGATGCCTGTTTCACTCAAATTAAGTTTTACCTTTGGCGTACATACATGTACATGTACAAGTAATCTGTGAACTTTATCAATATTTATCCGGAATTTTCAGATGTAGTTTCAAGTACCTACTATTTGATCAGGATTGACTGTCAAGAGGCATTTATTCTCTGTAATCATAACTTTTTTAAAACTTAAATGAAGACATAAATTTTTACTATCATCTAACAATATCATGTCTTTGTCGCATGTTCTGCTTAACTGCTGAACTAAGTAGAAAGGAAATTGGCTAACAATGGCTTTTGCCATGATCTGTCCCTTGTTGACTGGGTCTAACCTCATGTGTCAGAGATGTAATATTAATCCCTGCCACCCCAGCACATTTACACCCAGGTCAGTACCAGTGGTCATCCCATATTGCTGACCCCACCTCCTGGGTACCAAATAACCACGTTTCCTCCATCCATTACTGTTTTTGTGTCAAAGGGAGTCCCTGTTGTCCCCATAATCTATGGTCCCTGTCACTATCCATTTGTGACCAAGTCCCCAGGATAGATTGTATGGAAGGCCAAAGCTGTAGGACATTTCCCCATAGAGCCACTAAGGGCTGACCTGTTGTAACATTGTACATGTCCTGTACAGAATATTCTTTGTCCTTGTGTCATCTTTGATTTGTGACCACATCCCCTGGTACCCCATTCAGACCTTATTGGCTGCGTTTTTCTTATTATCAAGCCAGTTGGCTGGCTCAAAGGTTGTGCAGGACAGAAATCCTTTTTTCACCAACAAAATAGGATTTTTTTCCCTTTTCAACTGCAATATTTGAGTATACATGTATTTATTTTGTAAGACAATTGAATCCTGTTACAATTCTACACATGTAAATACCTTGCCAAAAATGTTTCTTGACAGTTTCTGATGTATCCTGTACAGTATTCCCCTATTGTGTTCTCCTATTTCAGTATCATTGCCTACTGATGACTCCCTTGTGTCCGTGTCCCATGTCCCTGCAACATTATCCCTGTCCCTTGTCACATTTCATTTGCATGCTTCCTCCCCTGGTACTTCAGCCAATGCAAATTCTCCCAGCTTCTGCTGCCTCCAGCATTTCCACAGCAGATCCCTGCTATTTTCAACTTGACATGGTGCCATATTTTATCAGCCATCTTGTTTCCATAGTTACATAAGAGTGTTGTCCATATTCTTTTTTTCAGGTATCCTCCTAGCTTCAAATCAATGGCCAACACAGTCTAGAAGGACACACCTGCACTGTTTGTAATGTCACTGTGGGTCTGCTGTCACTATGATCTATGTCACTGTCACTTCCCATTTGTAGTTTGGCTCCCCGGGGTGGCAGCACAAGTCCAATGTTATTGCTAGGTTTGCCCCCTGCCCAATACATAATGCCCGGGGAAGGGAATGTGTATTAGGGTTGCAGTTTAGATGGCAGGTTACATGTTGTTCCATATGCTGAGAGAACATTATCAGTGTCACCTGCCAGGATGAGTTTGTAACATTGGAACTAATATCTAAAACTTTTGGCTTTCCTACTGTATGTATCTGTCGCTGGACTTTTGTCCTAGCTTTCCTTCCTGTAGGTCCTTTCATTTCCTTGCCTAAGGAATTGTAATGCTTACAAAATCATGTCTCTAAATTTTCGTTAAGATGTATACCAAATTGGATTACATATCCCAGAGCTTTCTCTCCTTTACGAGACTTCATAATTGCCTTCTCTATATGTTTAACACTCATCTGGTTTTAGAAGATGAAACATGAAATGGGAATTTTGATGTCAGTTGACATTTTGTCTATACTGTAATACAGGATGAAATATGAGCCGTGGAGTAGGCAGTCTCCAAAGGCAGGGAATCTGTATGGGTGTTGGAATTGTTTCTCTGTGTCACCTATGTAACCCTGGTATTGCTTGTCACTTCCTATCCATGCCCAAGTCAACAGAAGGCATGTTTGATTGGTAGTGGCCCCCCTTGCCCTGGCCACAATGCCTGGAGGTCACAGGCTACAAATATCCCACAATTTACAGGGCAGCCTGACGCTTGTCCTGCCAGCTTAGTTCAACATCAACAGCTTCCTCGGACAAAAAACTGTTTGTCAAATGCTCCTGAGGTCTTCGCAGATTTTAGAATTGAATTCATGATGAAACACGGAACTCAAAATATGTGAGTTGGTGTCCTTGGGGTCAGGAACTACACACATTACGAAAATGTGAGTTCTGAACGTATCACTCGGGGCGACTGATTGACTTACGATAATCTGACCTTAGAAAAACCAGCCCTCTGGAGTCGGAAGAGTATGATGATGATGAAGGCAGGCCTGCCTGAGAAGGACCAGCAACTGCCAAGAAAATGGTCACGGGATTATTTTCATGTTGATTTCAGTTATTGATTTTTTCCTGTTGATATAGTCTTACAAGAACTATTTCGTAGCTTTTTGCATCATTGACCTTAGAGAATGACAGATGCTGATTATACCATAATTAGTTTTCTTGTTAATACAGTGGAGTTAAACTTTGACTTTGCTGTGTTAGCCTTTGTTGCCAAGTAAAGAGCTTATGTTAAGCTTATGCATGCATTGAGCAGCATCCCTAATTAGAGTTAGTTATTATATGGAAAATTTATTCAAGTTCCTTCCAGTTACATCAATTTGAGTACAGTATACACTCCAGTTACTTACTATTTTGAAGTTCGAATATGAAACGACTATTAGTCTAAATCTGCTTAGAAATTGGTGTCACAAATATTCACCATTATAGCCTAAAATCTTCCATATGGTACTGAAAGATGATACATGTGCATTACCACATGTAATAATATTTCAGTCGGGGAGTACCCTTGCTCACTGTACTTGAACGTAGCTTACACCGGCTCAACTTTTGTCAGGGAAGAAGTGAATCTACACCCCCTTCTTTCTGGGTATTTTGCTGAAACTGTCAAAGATGGGAGAAGCCTGCCATTTCAGAAACTCAGTAGGCATGTCCCGTGGTATCAGGTAAAAGTATGCTCCACTGAACTATGTTATGATTGACTAAATCTCTGTCAGACAAGGGGCAGAACATCATTTTTATCTCACAGTTTATTCCGCCACATTTGTGAGGGTGAACAGATCTATGATTACAAAATTGAGCAAGCATGTCCTACCAAAGTGCTGCCTATGGGAAATTAATTGTCACACAAAAACCTGATACCTCATTACAGACAAGGTGTAACTAATTGTTAATTATGCAAATTAGCAGCACCAGCTGGCTGTGGCTTATGAATTCATATGACACCTTTGTCTCATGGCTGGTTGTAAATATGAGTATTCTCCTCTTTGTTGAAATCGGAGGATCCATGAAATTGCACAGAAGGTGTTTAAAATCCACACAAAAGTCTTTACACCAGTGACAGAGTTATTGCGACTGCTGGTAGGGTTATGGAAAGGTCAAGCCCAAATGTTAAACTTGTGACAGAAAGTTCTAGTTTGTATTAAACCTTGCACATTGCACAAAATCTACACAGTGAGCACTGAACAAATATGTAGTCATGTGCAGTGGATGTGCTTACTTAGCAAATTGTCACAATGTGACCTGACTGTAATCAAATTATTAAGTCCAGGTGGGCTTAAAGCTCATTTGATGAAAAATACTGGTGGTCCTAACATATTGGTAGGAATTGCTTACCTAACCTTGTTAAATACATGTACATTCATCATATTGGTGGTAATAAAATACACCTTTGGTAAAAGTAGTCACAAAGTTTGTCTTACCTCCCCATTTTAGGCTACCACTGCAGATTAATTACAAGAATTAGAATCAAGTGAAGGCCATAACATTTACAAATCCTTCCCAACCACAACTGTATTTTCTTCTTGTACCCTGACTCTCCCCACGAAATATTACAGATGGACTAGTCCTTTAGTACATGTAATATAGCACATCCTTCAATACAATAGCACACCCTACATACAGGGGAAGGTACTCACTCAATATCCCTGGGGTGGGGTAACGCATCTGGTTCCAAGCATCGTTGTAGTGGCTGGAATATTGTGCGTGAGTGTACGGGACGCCAGAGAACTGGGATGAGTAATCACTGCCTGCGTCGAACCGCAACGATCGAGCCAAAAACATAATGCAGAGAGGGAGAGGGGAAATACAAGGGTAAATATGCAGGGCATCGCAAGGGGATGACATAAATATATAATACCAGTATATCAGCACCATGCAGAAATTGTTATATCAAAATATATAGTTTCCGCAACCAAAGATTGCATACAAGATTGCAACAGACATGCATTGAAGGAAAAGTGCAGATAGTCAATAATGGAGCAAGTTCATGACCAAATGCATAGTAGAGGAGGGACCAAAATTGCAGGTATCAGGAAAACAGACACAGGAGTTAATGAGAAAAAGTATTGAGTACAATAAAAGGTAAGGTAATGGCAATGTAGCCAATTTGGGTACAAGAGTGTACGATGCAGTCGACAAGCCCAGGGAAAAGGGAGCATTGGAATAACAGAAGAGGGAAGGTTTAGGGGTTGGCCAGGTGAAACGAAGAGATGACAAAACAGGGAGGGAGAAAAAAGAGTGGTTAGAATGGCCATCATTCCATTCTATCCAACATGTCATCAATTCCTGACAACCCACAAAACAGCTCCATTCCCTCCCCACTAAAAGATAATACATTCTCCACTTGAATTGAGTCAGAAAACTGTAAAGACCCCCTTTTTGCCTGGACTATACATCCAGTTGAACCCAATGTAGAGCACACCATTTGTCTTGCAGTAATTGCTACTCAGAACAATGGCTCAGGCCTGCGGCATCCATCACGAGTAGGGTCCGCTATTGTGCACGCGGTTATACCGTGCTCGATTGCCACAGCATTACTCAGTGCTTTTGCCATCGACTTGCCAGTTACCATTAACAAAGTCATCACAAGAAAATAGCCGAGTGGTTGAGGTCTATGGTGAGTGCAGGCTGTATTCATAACAGCCCCATCTCCAAAGTGAGCGCACAAAAAGAATTGGACAAACATCTCAGCGGGTGTGGATTAGGTTGCTACTTCAGTTTTCCACGAGCGATCCTCGTCCAAATACCGAGATATCAGGTTTGCTTCCAAAACATTTTTCACTCTGCCAAAAAGGTCTCAAGGTCTTAGCATATATCAAAATTTCTTCTTCACTGTTGTACCAACATTAAACGGTCAGATCTTTAATGATATGATACCGTAAAATGGTGTTGAATCTAAATTTTGAATTCTTGTTTGTGGTCAAATTTGGAAAAGATGGATAATACCTTTTTTAGATTTGTCTAACTGCTTGCACCACTTTAGGTCACATCTTGGGTGTTAACATACTATACAAAGAATTATTTTAGTAAATTTAAATTATATAAAGTAGTCTTTTTAGAACAAAGCCCAGTCTTTCAGGAATTACTCCATTCCACTGTTGTGGAAACTGTTATAATGGTGCATCTCCTAATGCTTTAAAATATATTTTGTCTTCACACAATGATGATTAAGTGATGAAATTAACCTCCTTTTCCCATTAATTTGGGCTGAAAATTAACAAGGTGATTATGATGGGAGAGAGTAGTTCAATCACCATCAGCCGTGGCATGACTCATCATAAAACAGTAACGTCATCTGTCACTGGGAGGTGATTCAACTCTAGTGTGTCGCACAAGCACCTCCTAAAAACAGCCAATTTTGAGGAGAGTGCTTCAAACTCTCGACTGCTTGCCAATCACCCAGGCTTTTCAAATTCATCGCAATCTCAAGTGGAGGGATTTTTCGGTTTCCTTTCATTGACAACAAGAAGTCTTTTGAATGCTGTCAAAAGACACAGCAGAATTTGTCATGTTGAATTCTGGGCTTTCTTTTTTCCACAGAAGCCATAGTGTGCTTATCTGTATCTGTGCTCTTAAAAACACTTCATCACATCTTGAAAATGCTCTTGGTTAAGAACCCTTCAGGAGAGGGTACCTGTGAACAGGTTGATCCTAATATTTTTCACCCATTGCCCCCCCCCCCCACTCAGCCATGCTGACGTCCGTATCCTGATGGACGTCCTCTAGTAAAACCGTGTACGGCCAATTGGTGCTCGAAACATCATTTTTTGAGAGTCTGCGAAAAATGGCTATTTTCATTTTGATGAGCATCAGTGTTATTGAAGAGGCCCCCATCAGCCATGCATGCCAGTAATATATCCCGCTGAATGGACATTTTAGTTATATTTGTGGCTATATCCTCCCTGAAGTGCCCAGTAGCACGGGAGATTTGGATATTTTTACTTGGTTGAACATTGGATTTATTGGAAGTGGCCCTCCTAACCAGCCATGGCCGAGACGCTTGCTTACAATGGAGTTTGGGTAAATTCTGTACGGGCAATTGGGCGGTGAGTGCCCAATATTTCCTGGCTGGTCGGAACATCCGAACCAGGTCAGGGTGACAAATGGCCTCCATCCAAATGCATTTGTTTCTCACTTCCTTCGTTTTCTGACCTAAAAAAAGGCTTTGCTCTAACTGACCTGTGTGGACTCAATATGCCAAAAAAGGAAGTTACTATTTTGCATATTGTATTGCATTGTGGTGCGACTGTTGATCATTGCAATTTTGCTGGCAAGGATGACAAAAATTGATTTTTTCCACATTTACGACAGATCTTTGTGAACACTTTGTGGTTAGCATTTTGACTGTTAAATGGTTTACAGCAATAACCTTAGCTTAGCAGTCTAGGGGGTGGCAACATGGAAAGTTTATTGCAAGTTCTTGCCCGTGGGCTAATTGCAAGTACATGTAAGTGCACATACAAAGAACAGACAATGTGTAACAATACAGCATGTAACTACTCTAGCCTAAATATTAGAATCTAATGTTTAACTCTAGTTCTAACTTATTGGGTTCGGCTTCTTTTTTCGAGACAGTGGAAGACGAAGAATCCCACTTTTTCGGTGATGTGTGGGTTTTGTGATGTTAAGAGAAAAGTAGTTTTCTTTTTGTCTGTAAGCATGAAGAAATTGGGATGTAATGTCAGCAGAACATACTGCGCCTGTGCAAAACCATGTTATTGTTTAATATTTCAAATTGGTCAATGTCGAATCATAATTTTGTTGGTTGCATATCTTTTCCGACAGATCATGAAAGCTACAGATTCTTAAGTAACCGTTCACAATCTTAAAGGATGCATTTTTTTAGTGCTGTGCACATGAAGTTCCGCATTTTGTACAATTGCAGTGTGTTCTGCCAACATTCTGTGAGAGAAAGGGATGTAGGACAAGGGCTCACCTGACATGGTGCTGGCACTGCTATAGGAGTTTGATGCCGAGGGGAGAACAATTGGCGGGACGAGTCCAGTAGCCATCGTGTTGGAGGGATAGCCCGTCTGTCCTGATAGGTTGCTGGGTGGGGCATGCGGCGGGTAACCAGGAAGGGTAGAGTTCATGTCTCGCATGTCGCGGCCCGTTGTCACCGCCGACTGAGGAAGACCTAAGGAAAAGGACACGATTCTTTTGTTAAGATCCATGGATCTGTGTGACTTTACTTGGGAATCTCCTGCATAGTTTATACAAACCCCACAATATGTACTCTCCAACAAAATACTGAAGCTGGGAATCAAAAGCTTGGCCGCAAAATGCCATAAATGTCAGCACACCTTTCAGTCAGGTCAAAAGCCTACCATTGATTCTACATGATATCATATCATGATATCATATCAGTTGTCTTTCAAAGGATGTTTTTAATTCAGGCTTTGTTATAAAGACTACATCTTATACTTGTACTTATATAAACTTGTATCATGTCAGCATTCTCAAACTCCTGTATCCTGACTCATACATGTCATAATGGAAAAAAGAAACGTTGAATTATTTAGGCCTAACTCGATGATGTTAGGAAAATCCCTGTAAGCATGTTAAACTGATGTGATCAGCTTGCTTATTTCCTGAGATTGGTTACAGCCCTCGATCCGCTTCCCCTGATATCTGCCGTAAATATGGCGACTTTCTTAATTACAATATTCATGGTGTAGCCTGGCAGGTTTAATCAATATTGTATTAGCCTAATCATTCAGCTGCTGTTTTGTAAATTCATGAGTATTTAGCAGGGCCCATTAAGCTATTATGTTGTGCTTCATCATCGAAAAACCTTTTATGTTATTTTGTTACATTGTCATATATCTCATAGAATACTACCATTCATCGAATTTAACATTATAATATATCATTTTAAAATTTGTTAAGTTCTGAATAGTTGAGATTTTTCTGATTTTAGAAATCACCATCATCATTTTAGAAATATTTTGCCACTATGGAGAAGAAAGAATTCAAAATACATTGTACACATGTGTAGTGATAAATTCTCTGTGATTTCAGATGTAGTTTCTCTCTCAATTCAAATGCCCTATTCAGTACATGTACGCTATAAAACAGTCATCACTGGATGAGAGATGCTGGCAGAAAAATGAGCTAATATGAAGTCAACTTTGTGTCTCATAATTCCTGTCAGTTGAAATTTGCGTGCTCATTTGGTTTACATCACAAAAACATGAAGATGATTTGCTCCATAATTGCTGAATATTTGCCCAAACTATAGACTTTGCTCCAATCAATCTACCCACTGTCACTTCTGTTTTCCCTTTTCATCAGCGCAATTCATCAAATGCCATAATAAAACTGCTATCCCTTTCCGCAGTCATCTTCAACAAACCATCAGCTAAACATCACATTAAGTGTTATCTATGTCATCACGCACACTACTTTAAGGCATCAGCAGATTTCTGCCACATGAAAAATGACATGTTTCGAATCTAGATTATAGTTATTATAACAATTAAAGGTACTTAGGCAAGGAGTGAAGTACTGCAGATAGGGATAAGCTATATGTATGGCTTAACTAGTGCAATTGGCAGGAACATATAACACAATTACTTTACTGGCTTTGACTTATACAATGCAGATTCAGCATACTAGGGTAACATTTAATATGGTTCTGTAATTACAGCCTCAAACTTTTCTAAAGCTTATCTATTAATCTGACTTTTTAACTTCAATCATCATTTTTCGTGCTTGATAACTAGTAGCATAAAACAATAAAGTTAAAAATGTTCCTAGCTTAAAAAGACATTAAAATCCACATTTTCGACACCCAAGGGTGAGACAGATGAAGGAATGGTGTAAGAAAAGAGAGAGAGAGAGCATTTCCACTAGCACCACCACCAGTCAAGGAGTTTCGATCTGCAACAAACCAGGGATCCAACCAAGCAGCCATGCAATTTGAATTGGAAAAGATCATAACAACAAAATAAAGCAAAAGTTGTTTTCTTTTGTGAATCACTCACAGAGAGGCTTTTTACAAAGTTGAAGCAAATGTTTCTTACCAGCATTTCATGCGATGGAAGTGAAACATTTTTGTTCAAAATAAGCAACGAAAAAAATTGCTTTGCCAAGTGAGCAGCAGAGTGCAAAGAGTCAGGCCCAAGCATTTTACATTTCAGAAAGATTTGAATTTATCCACCACTTTAACCTCCACCATTGTCACAGACCACACACAATTACCTGCCAGAACCCCCTGGCTGGTGTACTGTCCAAAGGAGGGGGTACCTGACCCGTGGGTGGAGAGGGGGTACCCCCCTAAGGTTGCCGAGCCCACTGGCTGCAGTACAGTGAGAGATCCGGTGTTTGAGGTTGCAGCAGTGGTGGTGGTGGTGGTAGTGGCGGTGGGGGAGGGAGGGGGGTCGGAGGACTTGGCGCTCCCCGGGGGGGAGGCACTGGTGGGTGGAGCTGAGGCTGAGGGTGGGGTGGAGGCTGTGGGATGGAGGAAACATAAACATGACAAGATGATGATGAGAACAAACCAATTAGATAACACAACAATGAAATGACATTTGGCATGGACACAAAAATTATAATCTACCAAGGCTCGAAATACTTTTTTTCTTTAAAATTGAAAATTACCTGCACCAGACAAATTTTACAACTCAGAATTTACAAGGAAGTATGGATCACACTAAAAACTGTTCAAAAACTATTGCCGTTATTTTTTGTTCCTTTACTTCATAGGTGATAACTTCTATACAACTGATGAAAATACGCATATTTAATTCTACGATAAGGTTTGGTACAGGTAAACATCAGAAATACCTACACAGCTCCAATTTTACCTGCACTAACCTGCATATGCAAATGTTATTTTGTGCCCTGCCTATAAATATTAAAGCTTTGAGGAAGATTTCTACAACGTGGTATAACCCCACATCCTCCCGAAAGCAGTTACACCTTGTGTTGATGTGACATGGGTGATACAGCTGCCCAGGTGCCCATCACAGCAACCTTCTGTCTGTAAATGCCAGCTGAATCAACATGCTGCCCCATACCCTCCACAATAATGGATCAAGTCAGCTCCTCAATGAGGCAATAGTGTTGGGAAATTGCCGAATGCTTGTTTTGAAATTGCTTCAATCACATGATCCAATATCATACAGAGACAATTATAAAGACCACACATGATGCGATATCATCATCGGTGCGGTGAGAATATCACTTTTTCCATTTAGTAAGGAAAGCCTTGTTTTTATTCAGTTTTGAAGAAACATTGGTCGTGATAATACTGCAAGTTAGAGGTATTTGCTGGTATGCAGTGTTACTTTAATAGGAAAACCTTAAGTTCAGAGTACATGACTTCACTGAGTGAGAAAATATATAACATTATAAAAAATTCTGTTGCAGACAGGGACTTCTCATGATCATTTCCGTCATGAAAAATTGGATCCATTGGACACAGAATTGAGAGCCACAAAATCATGACAAATAAAGATAACACACCAGAACAACCTGTTATAAGTCTGTAATTTGGTTGGAAGATGTCCCAGAAAATTGTCTTCTAAACCTAACTTTCGATTGACCGAGAAAAATGGATGAAACAAATAATCAAGTAGGCAGCTTGTCTGTGCTTGTGGCTCTTATTCAATAAGCTCTGATATCAGTGTGTCATAATGTTGCATGGTTACCTGGACAAGTAATAAGGAAATCCCCAAAATTTGCAGAACCCAGAGATATGAATCAGTTTAGTTTACGACCGAGATATTGAAACACGACAATGATGTATCTGAAAAAATACTATGACAAAATGTCTTTTTGCAATTCACCGATGCATCTCTGCGTTTATGGCTCAACAATTTGGGCGCAACTGCAAAAACCACACAGCATTAAGACAACTGGTCATAAATTCGCAATGTGCAATGGAACTTGCGAAATGACAAAATGTAGCCGATTAATTTTTTTGATGACACAGGGAAGGCTGATGAGTCAACAATTTCAGCGTTCAGACGACCATGATTGATTGCAGTGTATCAGAATTTCTGCTTGCTTCGTCTCCGAGTGGGCTGGGATAGGGACTCTTCTGTCACCGAGGGAATTTGGTGAACGATGAGGCTGAGATTCTGGCGACATTGGGCTGCAAAAGTTGCGGTCTATATGATCGATGAGGACAGATTATGAAAGTTTCCCAAAGTGATACAAATGACAAATGCACAATGACCCCATCTTGTGGTGACGCATGAGTGACACCTCGCGATGACAAATGCAGCATCCTGACTGCGCTATCTGAGGATGACACACGCGACATGCAAGAAAAATGACTCGGACAAAATGTAATATGCCCAGGCAAATTGGTTTCTGCTCCACAAATGTGGGAGCGGGGGAATTACAGTCTGGGCAATCTCTCCCCGATGGCAGAGATTATTGCAGGAGTGACAATTGTAAAGTAGACCTGATGACAGAGATGTACCCAATAAAAGTTTGCCGACCATTCAGGGATCCAGAGTTAAATTTAAATTACAGTGTCGAGAGTTTGTTCAGCCCAGTCAATGGGATTTGCTGTAACACATTTTTTTTGCTGCTGGAACTTACAAAGGCTTTGCTTTAATTTAAGCTTAAAACATGACAATTTTTTTAAAATACGATATATACTATATAAAAAACATATCTCAAAGATAACTGTACTTAACAGTTTTCACACAGTAACAAAAATGAGTACATATTTTAACACAGGACTATACAGCTTTTGTTTCTATTGGCCCAGTACACATGTGCAGGTTAGCAGGTCCACACTACATGTTCTTACCTGGAACAGCTACTGGATAGTGGCCGGTGGGGACGTGGGGTGCAGAGTCTGTCATCGCTACACTCGTGGTAGAACAGCTGATGCTAGGTTTTACATCCTGCTGATGGAAAACAAGGATAGTTTTGAGTCATCCTTATCTTCTAGAAAATTCACACAGAATCATCACACAGAAAATGAGACACAATTTTTCTAAATTCATATGGTTCATAATGGTTGGGATGATATAACCATTTTATTTCTGCTGAAAAAGTACCTGAAATGTATATAATGTTACTTTGTCATTTATAATGTGGAGAAACTGGAAGAGGCTGTGTGATGTACATTCAAGCACTAGGGAAAAAGCCTATTGTACATTGTACATGTTATGTGTTTCACCAATCCCTGTCGGAGTTTTACGTAAAAATAGGAACGTACATGTACAAAGTACTTTGTGGATCTCCCAACAGTCTGCCCTGTCAGGGAAAGCCAGCAGAAAAATAGGCGTAATTTCGGCAGTCCCGAAATCAATTGCCTTTTCAATAGTCATTACATTGCAGTTACCGCCACCGTCCCATCTACCCTGCCCGTCGACAGGCATTACTTGGGCCCAGTTAGCCTTTACATTGGAAAACAAAAATAATCAAGCGAACGGTCAGCGGCCATTAGCTTGAACATCAATTTCCTACCATCATATGAATACCAATAAAGTTGGTTGCATCCTCAAGAATACCTTATTTCGCAGGGGCCGTAATTCATCAAGAGTCTGGACGGCGAGCTCCCCCGTTTGGGGAAAATGGCCGGCAACGGGCGAATCACCCATAGAATTTTAATGGGAAAATGATAACTGTCTTCTGAACCCATTTGTTGGCAAATCTCACAATTACATCAGCGAGATGATGGCAATTGGAAGGAATAAATTGCCGGGATGAAGATAGATTTTGTAACCATTTGGGCCGTAATCCTGGAGAGAAGAAGAATGATAGCCGGCATTTCAGGAAAGAAACAACGGAAAGAAAGTGAATTGCAGGAAGTCACGGATACTGTACTAAACGCAGCCGCACCCCATCAATAACCGGCATTGTCCACTAATGGTACTGTTATGTCTTTAAAGTATTGCAGTTGCTTCTTCGGCCCTCCGTTTAAGACTTTAGTGGGTGTGTTATGGTGCGACAACGCTCAGGCCATGTTACAGACCCAGGCCACGAACAAACTCTGTATGCTGGCAGCAAAGTGTGACGCCCCGGGGGGAAACAAGCCCCATCACACTGACCTTTGATTACCTCCTCCCCAGCTAAACAACAGTTAATTTCCAATTGAGGGAGAATATAATTGCCTTTCTTGGGAGGGAGACATTACCCCTCGACCCCATCCCATGTTGGGATGAATTTCCCCCTCTTGTTCTCTCGTCCCCAGCCTTATCGCGCTCCTTCGGGAAATTAATCATGTCCTGGACAACAGAAGTGTGAGAGTGATGTAGGCAATTTTTGCCATGAAATTGAGTGTAGCTCTACACACCTGGACTCACAACCACAACAACTTTTCACAACCGCTTTTGTGAAAGTTTATTAAATGACTTAATGCAGTGGAAGATCTTCAGTGAAAACTCCTACTGTTGTTAACCATAATGCCAATGTAGGAACAGGAACATTCTTAAAACATTAAATACTGATAGGGAGGTGTTCCTCAAGGCATCATTGTAGGACCTAAACTAGAGTCTCTCTTCTGGAATTAGCATTGACCACATACTTATGTGAACAAGTCATGCCAGGAGCTAATTCTGGCCAAACTTTACTTCAGTCTGACTAGTGAGCAAATGAGTTTTAAATCTTCTTGGTCTCAGAATTTTTTTCCGGGGTTGGGGTTCTGTAATATCGTGTTACCTCTAATGTGTGTATTGATAATGAAGTGTAGAACAGTGTGTTTACCTGAACTCGGGTCTGTGACAAGTCCACTTTGTTTGACATGTTGTCCCTGTTGAAGGGGTCGGTTGGATAGTGGCCACGATTGAAGGCTTGTTCCAAGGCTTCTAGTTGGTCGGGTGTGAACGTTGAACGCTTCTGCTCGGGGTCACCGTTGACTATCATGCCATTTTCCATGGCAGCACCAGGTTCTAAAAAACATAAAACATTCAAAATCAGGATTAAAAGGCTTCATAAGTTTTGACAATATCAAAGATCTAAAATCTATCTGCTATAAATTACATGTACATACTGTAGCGTGATGTTAAATAAAACAAGCCTATTCAAGAAGACTCAAAATAGAATCCAACTGTGTTCCGTAACTTTTATTTGCATTTCTTTCCATTTAAGACATGGCCGAAATGGCCGGTGAAAAATGCAAGAAGTTTCGTCCATTGAGTTTAATCATGCTTCGTATGCCTTTCAAAATTGTGGTATTTGATACTCCTATCCTTGAAAAAACAGCGTGTCTAATGGTGTTTGATACTCCTGTCCTTGGGTAAAAAAACACAGCGTGTCTAATATCTGAACATTTGGGGGGCCTGCAATTACAAATGCCAGCAGATCCAAAGAGGCCCCAAAAACCTCCAGCTAATTGACTATTTTGAACAACACACCAAACCTCATTGAGCCTTAATTAACTAAATGCTGGAAATATCACATTCATTACATGAGGAAATTACGCGCAGCAACCTTCCCCGCGCGCCGAGTGATTGATTGACCGGAGCGACAAACGGCAGGAGACAACTTGCAGGTTTCGCGCCAGTGAATTTTCCAAGATCTCGGTGTTCTCAGGAGTCACACACAAAAATCGCTTCTGAATTACTGACGGAAAGTTTTCCATCCTTTCCTTAAGATACAACTTCTAGCGCGTAGAGTAGTCTTTGAGAATATTCCCAGAATATTTGTAGTATCATACTTCGTACCTAGTAAGAAATCCTTGCAAATAAAGTTCATATCGTAATATTTGTGCTTAGTACTAATTTATGCCTTTACCTTCAATTCAATTATCAAATCACTGGAGACGTCACAATTTCTAAAATTGGCGGGAAAATATGAATTCAGCAACGTAATATATATAATATACAGAGGATTTTGAAAATCATCTAAACACTGACAACGTAACGCATTCCGCAGTGAGAACAACATTGGCGCGCTGATATCGGACGGTTCCAACGGACCATACTGCTATCACAATTTTACAGAGTGATCACAAGATGGCTGTTATATTTTCCCCGATCTATCACGTTTTTGGTGCAGTCGATACCGCCATTCCGACAGTTTTCAGGCGTTCCTATATTTTCTGCGTCATTAGCCACCGTCCAATGCCATTGCAAGGTCGAAAGTTGGTGTTTCTTGAGTGACAAAGCGGTAGGTGTCCTGACACTTCGTGATTTTTTAGGACTTGCTGTAAGGACTATTCTGCGGGGTAAGCAGTCCTTGGGCAGCAATATTGTATGGACAGGCAACTCCCAACAATCAAAAGGTTTTATGTCAGAATTTTCCATTGAAGAATCCCATATTTGGAGCGCAGAAGTCACGCACAGTGTAGTATATCAAGGATGTAAGGTATGTACCGGCACACACGGGTCATATCTGCCGCCACCTTCCACTGAACGTCCCACAAGCAAACATGCTCGGGGTCAAATGCTTCTCTTCCAGCTTTTAAGTTCTCAAGCTGCTGTGCCGACGAGCATTCCTCATCCCAAGGTCCTGCTACATGGTGGGGAGTGGCGTGAGGTGTGACATGACATAACACCCTCGTGAAGATAATCCTTCTTGAGACGGAAAAAGTTAAACCCGAAGAAAGAGACAAACGGTGTGCGGTTTCTTGAGAGTTCTGTCTGGTTTATGCCGCGAGTTCTTGGTTACTGATACTGATAGCCTGCTCAAGGCTTCAGTGGTCAACTGCGACGACACCTGGCATTTAACATGCCCGGTAGCAGCCATACTGTAACCAGCTTAAGCCAGTGGCTCCGCGTTCAATTTGTTCGGCTTAGGGAAAGCGTGCCACTAACTTGTTCATTACAAGCTATTACTGATCGTTACATCAAGGATGAGAACAGATACTGAGGTGGTTTAGCTACTCAAGCTTCCTATAGCACGTTGGCAATGTGCGCACGAAGAATTATCTTAAGAAAGGTACATCGTAGTAAGTTTTGTACATGGCAACGCACTCTCTTCAGTGTGCGAATGTAGAAACCCGATACTTTGAAGGCAGTTCAAGGGTTAGAATTGTTTTGGGTACACAAGGCTTCAAAGGGAATTCTGCCTGCGACGTCCACAACTGAATTTGCTGACTGTTTACATTGGTACTGGCCGGCCAGGTACACACAAAACACAACATGAAATGACGACAAGTCATAACATCCTAAAGCATCCTCTGCTTTTTGCTGCTATCTGCGTATGTCTGGGAATTTCGCATGACAGATGAACTTTTTCTGATGTTGAACATGGGTCTAAAATGATTTCAAACTTGTTGAAAGAAAGAATAAAACGTTCATAAGGATTGTGTACCACATGTAAGGTTGCCGGTTCTATCCACTTCAACAGAGGAAGTTGGTGGCGACGATTAAAATCTGGGGACGACAATCTCATGATGGCTGGTTTCCTCCAGCAAGAAACTTAAGAAGAAATGTATCAGAAGTCCTTGATTATCCGTGACATACGTCTTTCCTGCCACAAGGACGTCGTGGAATTTTAATCACAATCGGAGGAAACCGCGGGAAACTGAAAAGTCAATGCCAAATTTGGACAACTTTCCCGTATCGATACTGTTCTTGCAGCTTGATATTGAAGTGGTGTTCGTGGAAAAAAGTTTCCCGTACTTCCTATAATTGACAATTGGAGCACGAAACTGGTGGTACACAAAATAATCGACTGTAAAACTTGAGGTTCACAATCACCAGTATTTTAGACAAAGAATCAACAGAAATGCTCATTGTTCCGAGCTCAGACCCGGAACAGTTCAGAGGCCGGGTGTCGCGCGTAAGAGGCGGATTTTCGCACGTTCGCCAACAGGTGGGTCGGGGCCTGCTTCCTTCCCGAAAGACGACATACGTCACCGCGTCAAAGCAGCCGCCCGAACACCGCCTCTCAAAGGGCTACAACCAAGACTTGCTCTTGTGAGCCAAGCCGGCATACTCCAACTTTACAAGTACTCACTGAGATAAAGATCTCTGTACCTGGTACGGAAGTCAGCCGTGTTTGGGGTTCCATTTTATGTACAGGTATAGGGCACGAAGTGCCTTGGTGTAGTCCATTCAATCGTTCTGTTCTATAGAGTGGCTATCTACACAATGTGTATATTTTCCATGTCACTAGCGTAACTTGACAAATTTCTGTGACGTTTTACCATAGTTTTGCAAAGTTTTTATCCATGGTTGTTTAGGGCAGTGCTTAGAAAAAATAATCCAACAAAGTGGTTTAAATCACGGTAACCGGATACCAAAAGGTACGAAAAACTCAACAACAATATATAAAAAAGTATCGTACAATGATTTCAATTGTACGATCTCTGTCTTCGAATACAACACCTGCCAACGCGGCCATTCATTCACTTTACAAACATTCAAATTTGAAGTATCGGCCATTTCCATATTGTCAATGGCATTCTTAGAATAGAGGATCTCTCAAAACCTCATAAAAATCGAGAAGGGTTGTTTTTCCCTCTTTCCTGTCCAGGTGTGAGCTTTGAACGACTACAAAACAAGAATGACTGCTTTGTTAGATGCCAAAGCCATCAAATTTGCAACAAACATCGGGAACGACTGCCTTATCCGCCTCTACATTACCGTTGAGCCCGAAGAACCCTATATTGTACCGGACTTTAAATTTGATGATCACATTTTTGTGTGATAACAAAGGACACCATCCAGGCTGTAGTAACGGCACATTGCCACATGATCCAGTTGGACGGGTTTGATACGCTACTTGGCAATAACAACGAGATAGAATGGCACACCTATCTGGCTACTAACCAACAAGACACCGTCTCCTCCCCTCGCCATAGAAAACTCAATGGTAGATTTGAAAAGGCAGCGTTCCTAAAATACTTCCGAGTGTGTCAGAATCTGTTCTTACAATGACAGGTTCACTGCTACGATTTTCTTGATTCTCGAGCTCTACAGCCATGCCGGATGTAGTTATTTTCTGACCACAGGTTATTGAACCCGCCTGTAATGATGATCCCGGGTAATTTTCGCAAGTCCGTGTTTACACGAATGATTTAGTGTGCTCAACAACCCGGCAACGCTCTCGGGATGTAAGAATGATCCCTTTACCGAACACAACATTTTCTGCTCATTGGAGCAGTGGCGTAATCTCATCGGGTGTATTACACTAACCACTGCCGTCCCGGGATCGGCTTTACGGAGGGACTGAACACCTGGGGGAGAAGAATGAAGCCGGCAATCATGGTATAGAAGCGGCATCCGGTACGGCAAGTATCGGCACACTGGGATAAGTCCCTGCCCTGGGTAATGTTGCCGTTCAGACTATTTGATCGGGATAGGCAACTTCTACTACCCTTGGTGGGAAGAACAGAGAAGGCAACACACCATCAACATTACCAACCAACCAGTCACGAGAGCTTAGAACTAGCAGTAAAAGTGATACGTCAAACTCAACATGTTGATTTATTCATAGTACATATGCTAGTTCATTTGTATCCACTTGTCTGTATGTACAGTTGTGCTACAGTTGTAGTAGACCTTACGAAAGTCACTGTACCGTACCTTTGTTGTGTCAATAAAGATTGTGCTAAAACATGTGGTCTGAATAGTTAAAGTTTTCAGGACTGTTGCCTCTATAGTAAGTTAGTCTTACGTTGCCAGACTGGCCTGGCAACTTACTGTCTCAAATTGCTCACAATGACGATCCGAACTGGCATGGTCTCTAAGTACGAAAGTTTATCAAATTGTTCAACTGTTACTAGTGTTTGTTTCTTGACCTCTTTGTTGAATTGTTCTAGATGAGCAGGTCAAACAGATTGACCGAAGAGGTCATTGACCACTCTGTATACCTTCAATCCCTCAAGCTTCTTGCCTTCTAGCTCGGTCAAACTTTCCGGTTTTCAGCCTAGCCTATAGTATACGTTGTGTGTGCTTTGGTTTCTAAAGCAAGATACACATTAATTCTTCCAAACTAAACA